TCTCCTTTGCTGGTATTGCTTTTTATCTCCTCTTACATCTAGCTCAGTTTTTGTTTTTTTTTAAAGATTTTATTTTTCCTTTTTCTCCCCAAAGCCCCCCGGTACATAGTTGTATATTCTTCGTTGTGGGTCCTTCTAGTTGTGGCATGTGGGACGCTGCCTCAGCGTGGTTTGATGAGCAGTGCCATGTCCGTGCCCAGGATTCGAACCAACGAAACACTGGACCACCTGCAGGGGAGCGCGCGAACTTAACCACTCGGCCACGGGGCCAGCCCCCATCTAGCTCAGTTTTTATCCTCTATCTACACTCACTCCATCTTCATCTATATAGTGATGATGTTCACATTTGTATCTTCCGCCCGATCTTTAGCTACCTACTTGCCACATCTATTCAGATACCTAACAGGCATCTCAAACCAAATTCCTGATATTTCTCCACGTTCACCAAATCTGCTCTTCTGACAACCCTTCACATGTCAGATGATAGTAAATCCATTCTGACAGTTGCCGTTTTACTCAATTTTTTGCTCATATACTACTTCCACTCCACCATAAAATTATATTATATATACCTTAAAAATATGTCTAACATCCATCCATTTCTCTATGCCTCCACTGTTTCACCTTTGATCTGCACTGTCTTCATCTCTCATCTTACTGCAGTGGTCTTCCAGCTTCCACCTTTGTTCTCCTTCTCCAGTCCATTCTCAACACAATCAGAATAATCTTCTAAAATAGAGGTTAGATCATGTAACTCTTCTTCTGAAAGACCTAAATTGACTCTTCATTTCACTCTGAGTAAAAGCCAAAGTCCTTAAAATGGCCTATTAGGTCCTACATGATCTAGCTGCCCTCCTTCTTCTTACAAATTTCCCATATTTCAGGGCATGGCAGTCTGATTTGAGTCATCTGGTTAAACCAGGAACTTTAGAGATTTCCTTGAACTTTTCTCCCTCACTGTTGCATATCCAATCAGTTACCATAACCTGTTGATTACTCTTTACCTTGTATCTCTTAAATCCATTTACATTTTTCCATTGCTCATGGCACTGTTTCTCTCCACCTCCAATTTCACCTCACCCCAAATCTATCTACTGCATATTAATATTAGCGTGATCTTTCTGGTTAAATGCAAACCCATTCATATCATTCCCAAGTCTGTAAACTCCAAAGGTCTTCCCCTTTAATCACCTTTTACTTTTCCTGCTTTTTCTCCCCAAATCCCCCCAGTACATAGTTGTATATTTTACTTGTGGGTCCTTCAGGTTGTGGCACGTGGGACGCTGCCTCAGCATGGCCTAATGAGCAGTGCCGTGTCGCACCCAGGATCCGAACTGGTGAAACCCTGGGCCACTGAAGCAGAGCGCGCAAACTTAACCAACTTGGCCACAGGACCAGCCCCTGATCACCTTTTTTGATGATTCATAAATTGATACTTGGATTATATCATACAGTGCTTATGAGTGGTAAGGTTTAATTACAATTCAGAATACTTTTGAAATGGCCTTCTATGCTATAATAAATTCACTAGGTCACTTATTTAAATTGTTTTGCAGCATTTTCATTTTTGAGGGTGTATTAATCTTTGTTCTATTCAATGACATTCTGCCAAGATTAATTTTTTGTGCATGTATTCATTTATAAAATGAACTGTACATTTATCTGTTAATTTAGATTATACTTTTAACTCAAGAAAAGGTCAGCTACCTTTGACACAAGTATAGACCTATAGTAGGCTCTTTCTATCTTAAAAGTGTTATAGATCTTAAGTAATAAAATTAAATAAGAAAAATAATAAAATTAAATAATAATTATGATAATATTAAAGAAGAATATTAGTTTTCATAGTTTACATTCACATAAATATGCACATTCACATAAATAAGCTCATTCATTACAACTACCTAAAGACTAGACATTATTTCCCCTTTCAGAGGAGAAAATTGGAGATCAGAGAAGTCAAGTTATTTGATGGAAAATATCTAGCAAATCTGTGACAGAAGTGACTCTGGAACTCACTCTCTTTCAATAATGGGGTAGTGCCTGCATATGTGGGTTCTTAAATACAAAGTATAATGAACTATCTATGTGTAAGATAATGAAACGTTACTTTCTCAAGTAGATAAATGCTCACCTTAAAAGTTTTACGTGTAAAATTAAAAGTTTTATTTCTTAATGTAAACAAACCAGCATTGTCCTTACATTATTACTAAATATCAGCCTGTTCTAAAATGTTTGATGTAACATGGAGGTGACATATTACATTAGGAAACCATAGTAACATGCTATTTGAAACCATTACAACCATTAAAAGGTTAGATTTTGATTCTGTTCAAATGTCAGACCTCAAAATATCAATTTTGTAAAGTGTGGAAAATTGCAATTTCTCCACACATTTTGGATGGTGTCACTGAAATCCTGGCAGCAGTAAAATGTGTGTGTTCTTTTCTTCTCTCTCTGGCAGCCAGAGTGGAGAGAGAGCACTCGAGATTTGGGACTAGACCCATAACTTCTCTTACTTTTAATCTAAAAACAAGTAAGCAACATTTCTATCTACCTCAAAGGATTGTTGAAAAACTTTTTAAAATTAATCATCAAAAAACACTTTGTGCACTAACTAAAATAAAGCTAAGAAAGATTTTCCAAAGGCAAGTATCAGAGTACTTGTAATTCCTCCCATTTTAGGATTTTAAATCTGAAACTAGTCATTCAAATAAGCATTAACTGAGTAACAATTATATGCCCAAAATCCTTTCCGGGGTCCACATACCACTTTTATTTACAAATCATATCCCATCCCTCCTCTCTTGTAGAATGGCATCTGGTGCATGGCAGACATGCAATAAATGCTCATGCTCGCTGAATGATGCCAGCCTTCGTTAACACCATAATGACTACTACTACTAGTTACTAACATTTGTTGAGCACTATGTGCCAGATACAGTGCAAATCACTTTACATGCAAAACCGCACAACAGAGTAAGTTAATCTAATTAATTAATTGTTAATTTAATTCTTTAGATAAGAAAACTATAGCATAAAGAGGTTAAGTCTCATAGCATAAGAAGTTCAGTCTCATAGTTAGTAAATAAACTTAGGCAGCCTGACTCCAGTGCCTATGATGTGTTAGGGACCCATCCACTCTAGCTTACAATTCTAGAAAGAGGAGAGAAGACAATAAATAAGTAAACAAGTGAACAATGTAATTTCACATAGTAAATAAGGCTATGGAAAAAAGAAAACAGGATGCTTTGATAGAATTGCCCACAGCAAAATTGAAAAATGGTTAAGGACATGGACTCTACCACCAAGTTTGAATCCCAGCTGTCATTATGGACTGCAGTCTAGTTATTTATCCTCTTTCTACGTTTCCTTGTCTACAAATAATAATACTTAACTCATATGACAGTTATGAGTTTTAAATGAGTTAATATACATAAAATGCCTAATACCGTGTATGAAACATTGTGTTAAGTATTTGCTTAAATACTTATTGCTTATTAATATTTAAAATATTAAATTTAAGTATTAAATATTTAAGATTTTAAAAATTACATTAAATATTAAAAATACTTAAGCATTTGATTTAACACTTATTGCTTATTCTTATTGCTCTTTTTGCATCTTTGTCATTATAATCATCATAATATTTGGTGATTAATCTCACCTACTTGAGATAGGGTGATCTGGGAAGACGTCTATGAGGAAATGCATTGGAGCCAAAATCAAGACGACACCTAGCCACATGAAAATTTGAAGACAGAGATTTCAGGCAGCAGGAACCAAAGTATAAAAGCCCCAGGGCCAGAATGCCTAGCAAAGAAGGCCAGCATGGGCTAGGATGAGTTTGCTAAAGGTTAGGTTAAAGAGCTAATCAGGAGCCAGGTTATATTGAACTCATTGGCCATGGTAAGGAGTTGGATTTTATTCTAAGTTCAATGAGAAGCCATTGAGCATTTTAAGCATGATAATGATATACTTTGATTTACATTTTACAAATATCACTCTGGTTGCCATGAAAAGATTGGATTATAGCTTCCATAGAATATCAATCTCACCACTTCCTTTAATCATTGTTTTAAAAATAGTTTTTTTCCTAGGGGAAAATAATTCTCTGGCTATATTTTTGGAATGTCTGTATCAGTGCTCTTAAAAGTAGAGTCAGAATAAAGGACTTCAATAAGTACACATATATACATTCATATAGTCATACATACACACTCATTTTGAACAAAGATTACATGGAATACCCACACAGATAATACTTTATGGCTCTAAAATTCATATTAATGATATCTAGTGGATTTTAAAATCATATCTTTTTGAAGGAAAGTAGTAGAATAGTTTACTTACTTTAAATTAGTTATAAGGGGAAGAGATTCATGAGGTCCCACTTGTCATTTTCCTGTTCCTTGGCAAGTTACAATCTCCTTGCCCCCCAAAAAAGAAACCATTGCAAATTTGATTGGGTGGAACGAGGTATGTTTTGCTGGTAGGTATGGTTACATTCCTTAATATTCCCTTATCCCCAGACTTATTTCCTCACATCCCTCCTCCCCAAGTTCACCTTGGTTTGAGTAGATTGGGAGCCCACTTAGGCTACACTATCCAACCCAATCTTACCAGATAAACTTGACGCAGGTTCTCTAGCCTCAAAGCAACTATTAATGAAGTCATATATTGATGAGCTGATACCACTACATGAAGATAGGTAAATAGCAGTGGAAGAAGAGCATTTCTAGGTCTCTGATAATTTTACTACCATTACAGCATTAAATCATCATCTTTAACATCTAACACCTGAAAGGCCATTAATGCATTCAAAAAGAATATTATACCCACATTGTGACAAAAAATCATAAAGCTCTATACTGTCACACATGGAGGTGAACAAAAAACACAATGCAATTTGTACTAAGATTCCTCTTAATTCTTCTAATTCATAAAAGCTTTCATTTTAAAAGTTCAAGAGTATAGCTGCATAAAGTGAACGGCTTTACCTGTATGGCCAGTTCCCTCGTTCTTGACTTCTGTGGTTCCCACAGAAGAGGTGGGTGGACTAACAGGAGGGTTGGAAGTAAAGCTTGTACACCCTGTAGATGTGTTGATTTCAAAGTATTCTTGGTTGTGATTCATTCGATGAAAATCCAAAGAAGACACAATAGATGTCCGTTGTTTAGGCTAAAATAAATGAGCGTGATGAGAGTATTAATATGATCATGTTCATTTTCAGTCCAATCTCCCCATCAGTTTAACCTAAGTGATGATTTTTTCAGTTAAACTATCTGATTTTTATACTTAATATAATTGTGCATTTCAGAGAGACACAATAATCCCTTGATGAATTAAATAATGAAAAAATTGTTCATTGAAAAATATTATGGCATAGTTGATAAAATAATTTAGACTTTTTGTTAAATTTCCCCAGAAAACTGTAAAAATACAGTGCACAGAACTTCTCTTAATGATCAGTTCGGAAAGTTGCAATTTTAAGTCACCTTTCATTCAACTAACATTTATTAAGCATCTGGCATTTGCCAGGTCCTGAGGATTTAGAATCCAATAACAAAAGGGTCCTTACAATATTGAAGCATAATTAAGGTAGTTCCACTTTTTTTATTCTTTATATAGTCAAGGAATTGGTGGCATTAGATATTGTCCTCAAGAACCATATGCTGGAATTTTATCATCAGAATTAAGTAAAGTTATATAGAACATTTTCCAGGATCTAAGAATCTGCTTGGTATTTGAGGTGAACTTTGATTTTCTTTTTTAAAGATTTTAATTAATCCCCAAATAGCAAGAAAAGTCAATTTAAACATAAAAGTTAAAATCATGGAGTAACAGCAAATATAATCTATACCTTTTGTCAGTAATGGATTGTTCCCTATAGCAGTTTTCTGGGTTTTTTCCATAGTTTTAATTATATTCACTTTTTTTCCTGCCTAACAGAGCTTATAACATTGTCCTTTAGAAAAACTACAGTCTTTTTGGCTCTCATAATTATGCACATTTCCTAAGAATCAATACAAGTTTTCTTACTTTTTATTCTTCTTATCCATATTACTGAAATGTTAATAATGTCCTGTAATAAGTAAGAAGAGATTAACTGTAATCACCTTACAATAAAGTTTATTATACTTTACTTTCCCCAAAGTACAATAAACTTTTGGTTTACTAATGTTTTCACTGCCCTCAAACACTTGTTAATTACTGTATTCCACAGATTATTTTCCTGAAAAACATTCAAGTTACCCTGTCTCCTCCAGCTCATCATACTTTTTAAAGTAGATATCATTTAGCCTATTTCTAAAATAGACAATGATATTTAAAATGTCTGTATTTTACAGAGTTTTTTTAACATAAGGGGTGCAAGTTATCACAATATGCTTTATTCTTTCACCATTGCAATATTTTTATGAAAGAGGTTGAGAGGCATAAATATTATTATACAAGAAAGTGCAAGTCATTTATTATTATGACACATCAATTCAGTAATAGAATTCAAATTAGTACCCACAAAGGACTTAGTTGCTTTTGAAGTATGAAAGATTGAGGTTCAATATCAGGCTTGGTTTCTCATGAAATGTCTGTCCTTGGGGCTACTGAATCTCAATTTCACATTTGGTGTTCTTTCCACTAGATATATAACAGTAATTAAAAGGCATGAAATATGACACTGGCTCCAGTGGAAACACATTATGTTGGTTTTGTTTTATTGCATTGTGTTGTGTCTCACTTTGTATATACGCAATGGACCAAATTTATATAATATTCCTCCTTTTCTTCTAAATATTTCTTAAATACATGTTTCTGAACCTTGACAACCCAAAGTTCTAATTACATTAGAAACACAATTTGTTATGCAGTCATGAAAGCAAACAGGCTAATTTTTGCTACATTAATTCATTCTACAAATATTTGCTGAGAGACTAAATTGCAGATACCATGGTAAGCCCTGTGACAGATGTAGTTGCAAGATGGAAGGAAGGGTCATTCAATCCACATTGGGCTTTATGAGAATTTGAAATAAACCTCCTTTATTTTAAACCACTGAGATTCTGGGTGTGTCTGCTGTGGTAGCTAGCGCTATTTACCCTAACTAGCACAGAATGCAGTGACTCATAGAGGTTAAATGATTTACTTAAGATTATATAACTTTTATCAGAAGGGCTTAGATTAGAAGGAAGGTGCATGTGTTCACATCTAGAAACAAATTTATAGTGCCTCAAAACACAAAAAACGGAGGGAGGATTAAAAAGAGATATCTATGTGGAGAAATGAACTAACAGAAATGGGAGAAAAGAACAGAGAAGGTAGTGATATTAAAAATGGAGATAAAAGAGGATGGGTTTCATTGCTGTATCAGCAGTTGCTGGGCTGGCCAGGAGCACCAGGGTTGCAGGAGCAGGTGACCAAGAATCCCACCCAATAAGGTGGGAGATGGCGGGAGGTGGGATCATAGATGAGCCAAGGCTCCAAGCCCCAGCACGTGCTCCATTTTCCCACAGACTTGGCTTATAAAACACAAATTCAGAGGTAAAAATCATTAAGAATTTTTGACAGATACCCAAGAGCACTAAACCCCAAGCATGGGGCCCTTCTGAGAGCAGAGTCCACTGAGACTGCCATCTAACATCCATGAAGCCAGCACCATCTTAATTATTACCTTAAAGGGACTCATGTGTGACTTTACTGGTGTCACATACTGGATGGTGTGCATTTCCTACCCTTATTTTGGATTCTCTTCATCAATCAGTACCTATTACCATAAGAATGTCTTTATGTTCTATAAAGATATAAATGAAACATAACATATTCTGATCCAACATTAAGAATTTCACTGCATTTCTGCAACCCAGATAGATATGATTAATGTATGAATAAAATGAGAACACATTATTCCTGACGAGGATGAGATTTAGTTAACGTGTATATTTACTTCCAAATTTTCTCTGGATTGGAATCTAAGTTTAAAATATCCACTTTTATGTTTCTTTCTCTGTTATTTTCAAATTATTTAAACTAATGGACATTTTTTAAATCCACTTACTTGGATTTAAGTGGATTTTAAATCATCTGAATTCACTTACTTTAATTATAAAGGGACCTCATCAACCTCTTAATAAAATGTCAAATAGGACTAGAGGGACACTCTGGTGTCAGTACAAAGAAAAAATGGTGCTAGCAAAAGTCAATGCTGATATTAAATTATCCAAGCAAAATCAAGGTTAAAAACGAGTTCCCAGAGAAGATGGCTGAATGTAGAAGATTAGCAAGTGACATCAATAGAAATATGTGAAGATGACAGACTTTCCAGACGCTGGCCCATTGAGAAATTATATGAAAGCAATGTCTTGTAAAGTCATTGGTAATGAAATTTGATGTCTTCTTAAATACTTTCAAAAAAGGGGATGAAGTGGGGTGATGAAAATGGGAAGCTAGACCAGTAGTATTTTCTTTTAGAAATTTAATCAACCTGGAATATTGCATTTTTCACCAAAATGATAACCTACTGTCCCAATACCATCATTTCTTCACTGATTTGAAATGCCACCTTTACCATATACTAAATTTCCAAATGTAGACTGGGTTTACATGTCTCTACTACATTCCCATTGATCTACTTGTCTATTCCTGTGCTGATACCATACTCTCTTAATCACTGTTGTGGCTTCTCCTACTACTGCTAGAGCTCCTAGTAAATGGATATTGGCTCTCTGATCCTCCTAGTTTTATATTCCGAGAGTATTCTACAATTTGATGTTCTAAAGCACTTTCAATAATTTGTTCAAAAAATACTACTGACTATCAGCCATGTGTCAGACAGAGTTCTAGGCTCTGGGGATACAGCAGTGAACAAATAAGATAAGGGATGACATTTTTAGGCACTTTATTATGACTTTAGGAGTGATGATCCTATTTTTAATTTTCAAAAACTTTTCTTGTTTTCCATGTATTCCATTCTAAAAATAGCGTGATCTTAATTTTATGAATTCAATAACATTTCAAATCTTTCTAAGGATACTGATTATGATCTTTTTCTGTCATTAATTCTGTTTTCTCAGAAGTCCTTGACTTTGTGCATTGGCCTTGGTTCCTCTCTTTTTGGTTGTTAATTTTCCTCAAATATCTGGTGTTCTTGGTTATCCATTTTTGACTGTCTAAAACACTGCCCTATTTCTCTCTCCTGCCCCAATTCCCACTAGTTGCTTCAGCAGACTCTTCATCTTACTTAGATAATCATTACCATATGGTAGGAAATCAACAAAGTTAATTGCTCCATATAAGATCCTGAGTTTCTTTAATCGCCCTGACCAAGTCCATACCTTTTTTTTTATCTTTCAGAAGTTACCAAATGCCTGTGATAGAACCACTCGCGCTTTTCATCACTGCTATGGACTTGTTATTTTTATATGCATTTTACCATTTTAACTGCATGTAAGGAGGGAGAACATGTAAACAGCTGGGATCAGTTCACCATCTTGAATTACAATCCTCATATTTCTCTGTCTTGATCACTTTTAAAACAGTACAGAAAAGGGATTTGAAGCAGTCCAGACAACTCAGTGGGGGTAGATATTATTGAACTTTTTTTTTTTTTTTTTTTTTTTAAAGATTTTATTTTTTCCTTTTTCTCCCCAAAACCCCCCGGTACATAGTTGTGTATTCTTCGTTGTGGGTCCTTCTAGTTGTGGTATGTGGGACGCTGCCTCAGCGTGGTCTGATGAGCAGTGCCATGTCCGCGCCCAGGATTCGAACCAACGAAACACTGGGCCGCCTGCAGCGGAGCGCGCGAACTTAACCACTCGGCCACGGGGCCAGCCCCGATATTATTGAACTTTTAATTAAAGATGTCATGCAAATTGAGAACAATTTATATTTTCTTTCTTTTCGGTAAAAGGGAAAAAAAACACTTTAAAATGGGGTACAGTTTTTTGTCATAAATATAGAGTTAATAAGATTAAGATTTGTTCTAAATATGTAGAACTTCTGGGCTTCAGGTAAGCAAAATACCATTCCTCTGCTATAGATTATGGCCAAATATAGATTGAAAAAAATGTATTACTACCACGAGGGAGTTAAAGTGGGTGCGAGTAAATATGAAGTACTTAAGAGGAGTACACACTCTTCTAGGAACTGGAGATATGTTATCTCATTTAAGCCTATAACATTGGTAT